AACAATAATGCTAGGAAAGTTAGAAGGCAGCAGAAAGAATCCTATTGTATTGTGGGAGAAAGGCGGGATATCAATCCTGGAAATAAATATAAATATAATCATGGCAGGGTGGCTTTTATATGGAGTAGCTGTATTAGATTATGTGTTTTAACTTTTGTATGATTTTAGCCTTAATTTTATACTGTTTTAACTGTGTTATTTTAAATTCTTTTTTAAAATTGTTTTAAGGTGTTTTTTTCTTGTCAGCCCTTTTGGGGAGAAAGGCAGCATAAAAATTAATTAATTAAATAAATAAATAAATAAATAAATAAAGGCCGACTTGAGGGCAGTTAACAACAATAGCCAGTTTATAGTTTTGAAAAGGAACACTTTAATCTTTCTTTTTTTTTTTTTTCATAAAGAAGAACTATAAATAAAGAAGGACTATAGGTGTTCTGTTGGAAGCACTTGTTATCTATTTGGTGTTAGCTGCTTCAATGTTATAGCATAACAATGTTCAAGCAAATGTTGTCTCTTGTGAAGTGAAGGCCTTCATGGCTGGCATCCATTGTTTTCTGTGGGTTTTTTGGGCTGTGTGGCCACATTCTGGAAGAATTTATTGCTGATGTTTCACCTGCAACTGTGGCTGACAAATTTTGTCTCTCTTTACTAAACCAGGAGTGAAGAGCTATTTATTTATTTTATTTAGAGTATTAACGCCTGGCCTTCAACCAAAAAGCCTCCAAGGGTGCCTTAACATTTTTTAAAATTTGACAGCTCCCTGCCCTCAATCTAAATAAGACAAGATACACAAGGAAAAGGAAATGGCAGTTGGGGAGAGGAATAGGTCTAGCAGATGCTGCCTGCTCTTCTCTCCCTCAAAGGCCAGAGCAATGGCAGTTGGGATGGACAGAAGGCCTTTCATCCGCTGTTGGCCCCAGGCATGATGGAACTGTATCTGTCTGCTCTTCTCACTTTGAAGAGCCACAGAAGTGGCAGTTGGGATGGAAGGAAGGCCTTTCTTCAGCTCCAGTACACCAGTCAGCAAAGTGCCTGAAGATACAGGTGGCTAAAGTGCAAGAGCTGTCAGGTACTTTGTCCGGTTCTGGTCAGTCATAGGTTATTTGCGCAAAATGAATGCAGACGCACAAGGGTGGTGACAAAAATCTTATTATTCACCCAAACTTGGAGTCCTCCACAGTTAATACAGGTATAAACAGGTAGAACCAATCCTCAAGTTACCCCAGGCTTTCGCAAGCTTCTTTGAGCTATTCCCCCAACATTTAAAGGAGAAGCTGGCAGTTGGTGGGGACTCCCCAGTTCCCTCACCTTTTGGGGGAACATCAGTAGTCTGGATACACAAAGCCAGCAAGAAGTGAATGGAGTCCTCAAAACGTAGCCAGTCCAAGGTTGTGAAAACAGGAATGCCAGAGAGTACTGCCGGTCAACAATCTAAGATGGCTGCCAGCACCAAAGCTGTGAGGGAACTGCTGGGTTATTTATGGACAACTTTTTCAAGGCTATAGGTTTGTAATTAGTTCAGCATCTACTATTTAAAGTTGTAGGGATCTGTGTTTCTCTCTTCATAGCTCAGCAAAGGAAGAGGTTGTGTTGCCTTCAGCATCTTCGGCCTCTGCCATCTCCTGCTGGGGAGAAGTGCCCCCACAACCTCAGTCCCTAGCTCCCTGGACTCCATTTTCAGGAATAGCAGATTTCTGACCATCTGCCTTCTCCTCTCCGTTTGAGTTGCAACAGCTTCTGGGCTTAGACACAATGCTTGGATTTTGTGTTCCTGTATGGCAGGGGGTTGGACTGGATGGCCCTTGTGGTCTCTTCCAGCTCTTTGATTCTATGATTCTATGACAGGAGTAGGCAACCTTTCCCCTTTAAGGGCCGAGGGACTTCAGCTCCCAGAAGCCTCAGCCATGTTAGCCAATAGTCCCATGCTGGCCAATAGCTGCTGGGATTCTGGGAGCTGAAGTCCCTCGGCCCTTAAAGGGGACAGGTTGCCTACCCCTGTTCTATGACAATGGAGCTGTGCCTGCCTATTCCCTCTAGAGGCCATCTAAAAGAAGATGGAAATATTGTTTCCACACTATCTTATAGCCCTTGATAGGGCTGGAGGACATTAGAAGTATCCCATGTCCGTGACTTCATTGTGTCACTAGATTTGGCATCATCCAGTGCAGTAACTCATGGTGTCACACACACACGTTGACCGACTCCCATAGCATACCATACAGAATCTTTAGTAATGTTTTTTGGACTAATGTTAGCCCTTAATTGTAATTCCTATATATACCGTATATATTACTGAATGTAATGGTAATAGTTGTGACATAAGCAACTTTGTTTGTTGCTGTGAAGCTTCAAGTCATTTCCGACTTATGGCAACCCTAAGGGGGTTTTCTTGACAAGATTTGTTCAGAGGAGGTTTGTCATTGCCTTCCCTTAAGGCTGAAAGAATGTGACTTGCCGAAGGTCACCCAGTGGGTTTCATGGCTAAGCTGGGAATCAAACCCAAGTCTCTAGAGTTGTGGTCCAGTAAAACCACTACACCATACTGGCTCTCTCAACAACTTGCAAAATTAAAATTATACCTTTCAATTACAATATCGTATCCACATCCTAAATGCATTTGCGTATACGTAGTTTCATGTGATTGAAGTGAAAATTTAGAAAATGTGATGTGTTTAAAGAATTTTTTTCAAAATTTAAATTATTTTTTTTATAAATGAGAACCTCTCCTTTGTCTTCCCACTAAGCCACAACCCACTCACACCATCTCTTCAGCATTTTAAAGGGATGCAGGCAAATGTCCCAGCCCGTTTCTGCTCAAAGGCAGATGTTTGAGAAGCAGTGGTGTCACTCCCTCTTAGGGTGTCACCTGGTGCAGCGCATTGTATGCCTGTTCAAAATGTACTGTGGAGTTTCATCTGCTGGCGACCAGCTTAATTCCCCACCTCAACCCCCAATGTAGAGACTGGGAACTAAAGCCTAGTTCCCAAATAACCTCCATTGTATCTCAGTCACCCCATTACCCAGTTCTTGGGAAAGTTTCTTTTTGGGAATAGAAACCCCGTAATCTCCCAGCCAGCATGGCCATTGACACCTGTCTCAGATTCCCTCCTCCTAGCTAGCCATTGGAAGATTGGAAGCCATTGGAGAGAGCCTTCTCAGTTGTTCTCACTCTTGAGAATCCTTTTCTGTGGGAGGCTACGCTGGTCCCGTCCCTGCTTTCCTTTTACCAACAGGCAAAGACATTTTTGTTTATGCAATCTTTCAATGGACAAGCAGGGAAAGTTCTTATTTAGAAGTGTGTTTTGTTTTATTTATTCTTTAATATTTCTTTGGAATTTTAATGTTTTTATATTGTTTAATGTGGGGATTTTTGTTTTTGAAATTTTAGGGTTAAGGTTTTTTTAACTGATTCTCTTTGGAAGCTGCCTCAGGTCACACTTGGGGAGCAAGATGGCATACAAATAAATAAATAGGAATAAGGAATATATAATCTTAAACACCTAACTTTTCCAAGCTCTGCAAACCCACAGTAGTCTACAAAAATCCATTTTTGCATGCATCCACCTCCAGGTTGGCCTGACAACTTATGGTGACCCCATGAATTTTATGGGTTTTTCTCACACAATGAATAGTCAGAGGTGGTCTTGCCAGTTCCTTCCTCTGAAATATTGCCTACAGCACCTGGCATTCATTGGTTGTTTCCCATTCAAGCACTAACCAGGGCTGACCCTGCTTAACTTCCAAGATCAGATGGGATCTGGTGCTTTTTTTACAATTCCTTTAAGCTGGCTGAAACATTGTTTTGGTGTTTGCCTTCTAACTGCTTTGGGGTTGGAAGGAGAGTAATTATAAGAATATTGCAAGATTCTATCTTCTGGCATTGGTTTACAGTGGCTGCTGCATGGGATATATAATTTTTAAACAAGTTATTTTATGTTTGAGGGTTTTATTTTATTTTAGGAGAAAGTAAAGAATGAAAATAGCAAAACAAAACAATGCCTGTTACAATCCAACAAGATCATTAGAGATAAAGGGATTCTCTATTTAAAAAAATAGATGTGGCTTTTTGTCCTGAAATTTGATCAGAGGTTTGAAGGGCTTCCCACTGAAGAAATAAATGGAAAATATGGTGCCACAATATCTGTTTTAAAGTCAGGATTCCTTGCTCACGGCACTTGCTGAGTAAGTTTTACATAATTATAGTGTCTCAAATGTTATCAGTCCACTGCTGTTTAGTTGGTTGCTTTGGAGACTTCCAATTATATGCTATACATGACTTGGCCGGTGTGTACGCTTGCTTAAGAAAGTCTTTATGTAGGAATCCAGGGCCATTAGGTTCAAAATTATGAAGAAGCATAGCTTTAGGAGTTGGTCTAATGTGAAGAAATTCCTGACAGTTAAAAAAAAAATCAACCTGCCATCCAAATACTGCTACATTTGTGCTCCCAGCTCAGTAGTGCTCTGGAAGAGCACTGAACAACACTACACATTGTGTGTTGAATAAACTGCAGAGTGAGCACAAGTGTATCTACTCAGAAGTTAAATTTATGCAAAATTCTACTTCTTACCTACTTCTCAGGTAAGTGCTCTGCTGCCTTCAAAACATTAACTAGGCAAATGCTAAAAATGAAATGATAATAATCTTTAAACTGGCATAAAATTAGACAGCTGGTAGTGAGACTTGGTGTTTTTATGATATGAGGGCAGAAGATAAGGGATGTGAGCAATTAAAATGCATGTAAAGGACACAAGAACTCAGTATGTACATTGAACTATGTGATATATATGTGTGGTACTTGAGAATATGTAGCATATGTAAGCAACGGATCATATCAGATCCAGTTTGTATGTAAAACGTGGCATGCAGATCTTCAGTTGGTTTGTGAATCTTATGAAAGAAGTCTTGTGTGTGTGTGTGTACATGCATGCCGGCGGGTGAATGTGCACAGTTTGTTAATGTTGCATGCCTTCAAGTAGTTTCTGACTTACGATGACCCTAAGGCATGGTGTAGTGTTTTGCATGTTGTACTACAAGTCCAGAGACCAGGGTTCCAATCCCTGCTCAGTCATGTAAACCCGTTGGGTGACCTTGGGCAAATCTCACACTCTCAGCCTCAGAGGAAAGCAAATACAAAACTCCTCTCAACAAATCTTGCCAAGAAAACCCTTTGATAGGCTCACCTTAGGATCGCCATAACTAGGAAAGAACTTGAAGGCAACACAGGAACAAAGGCAAACCTATCATATTCAGAAGGAGGTTGTTGTTGTTGCATTCCTTTGAGTCTGAGAGAGTGTGACCTGCCCAGGGGCTCCCAGTGGGTTTACATGGCCAAGTGAGGATTTGAACCCTAATCACCCAGGGCCCTAATCCAACCATTACACTGTGCTGGTTTAAGATGGCATGAACCATCTTAAAAGAGGCATTTCCTTTTTTCTCAAACAGAAAGGAACACCTGTTCTAGGCTGATGCTTCCTATGACATAGGTACTTGCTTCCACACTATCATCCCTAATATACATTCTACACTGTATGGAAATTCATGTAATTCAAGGCTAAATCAAATTATGTGTGCCAGCTAGAGCAGTTCCACTGAATCAGTGGAAATGTAATCAATGAACACTTATGTCAGTCCTATTCTTTAAATGGGTTTATTCTAGTTGAGACTAACAGTGCGACTTAGCTCTCAGTCACCTCCTTAACTGATGAACAGTTGTGCAACAAAAAGTGTTTAACTGGGTAACAGCACTGTTATAGCCTCCTAATGTCAGCAGCCTGTGTACAAGGTGGCGCAAGGGCCCCCAAAATATATTTGTAGCTAGATGTTGATTGGACAGTAAAGAAGCATTTCTTGATAGGTATTATGAAACAGGTGAAGAGGGTATTGCTTTTTTTCATAATGGGTACATGAAAGCATGAAAGCAGCACCAGTTTGATGTGAAATACCATAGGAATTTCTGTGGCAATAACAGTTAAGCTGGCAATGTGTACAAAATGTATAAATAATTCACACTCTGGACCTCGTTTACATTTCTGGTCCTGTCACCTATTTATTTCAGTCCCAGGCTATATACAAGAGCAGGGCTTAAGCAAAGCACAACAGCACAGGGACTCAAAATCTCATTGGGAGTTAGTCCTTTTTGCCTCCCTCTGTTTATCCTGTTTTCCCCTTAGAGAGACAGAGAGAGATTGAAGGAAGATTTAAGTTTCAGTCTCTTTGGTGAACCAGCAGGTCTTCCCTTCCCTGGAGTGGGGAATCTATGAAGGAAAGAGACAAATATTTTCACTTGTGTTTGCATAAGAATGGCCAGCTGTCCCTACAAGTTCCCAGTTCTCTTGTTATCATTCCACCCAACCCACCCGAACCTAAGACCAGAGACAAACTGTGTACTTGTTTTCCTATAACAGGAATATTATGTTTAAAAATAAAAGCAAGTGAAAGTCCTTTAAACTAACAAAAAAATTAAATGTTTGAAGTTACTTCCAAAATAGGATCCCTCCATTTCAACTTGTGAGGTGGTGACTGAATTGTGGCTCCTAACCATGGATTATCTGATGTTGGGACTACTATGCCCCAAATCTCCAAGGTTTCTGTGTCATGCTGGCTCAGGTTTCTGGGGTTGAAGTCTAACTGCTTCTAAAGATCCATGGTTGGGAATCATTGCTCTAAAACAGGGGTAGGCTACCTTTCCCCTTTAAGAGCCGAGGGACTTCAGCTCCCAGAAGCCTCAGCCATGTTGGCCAATAGTCCCATGTTGGCCAATAGCTCCTGGGATTCTGGGAGCTGAAGTCCCTCGGCCCTTAAAGAGGAAAGGTTGCCTACCCCTGCTCTAAAACATTTGCCGTGGTGTGTCATGGGTGGGATAAAATGTGGATGCAGCTCAAGTTAATATGTCAAGTGAACATATTGTTATTGTTATGTGGCTTCAAGTTGTTTCCGACTTACGGAGACCCTAAGGCAATCCTATTATGGGGTTTTCTTGGTAAGTGTCATCAGAGGGGCTTTGCCATTGCCATCCTCTGAG